GGGCAGGATTACGTTAGCTAAAGCGGTACCTACGACCATCCCGTACTCCACTATGCAAACTACTAAACTCCCTGCAACTGTCTGATGAAATAGAAAGGTTAACAAAGAATTTCATATGGGAAAATCATCATGATGGTGGTGGAATACACCTAATTGGGTGGAATCAAATCTGTCAAGCAAAGGAAAACGTAGGACTGGGATTCAAAAAAATGAGAGAGCAGAAGAACGCACTCCTTATGAAAATAGCTTATGCCATAATAACTAAGCCAGAAGATGTTTGGGTTAAAGTGCTGAGGAGCAAGTACAAAGTCAGTGAACAAGTTCCAAATGCAATTCAAAATCGAAATGGATCAATCCTATGGCAGGGTATAAGCAAAGTGTGGAATAAGTTTAAGGAGAACTTATACTGGAATCTGGGAAACGGAGAGACTGTAGATTTCTGGGATGACACTTGGATACCCGATCTTGGACCTCTAAAAAATCACAGTATTAGGAGGGATGGAACTATAAACACACCAGTCAAAGTTAAGGAGACGATCAACATTGAAAAAGAGTGGAACTGGAATTTGTTAAATAATCTGTTTCCAGCAGAGGTACTAAACTACATCGAAGCAATCCCTCCACCAATCACAAACGAGATCAACGACATATCGAGATGGAAGTGTACTCCAAATGGAAAATTTTCAGTCAAGTCAGCTTATGAAACCATGACAAGCAATGAGCAAAATCAAGGCGAAAAAAATATGGAAGATTCTGTCAAAATACCGAAATCTACCTAGGATTAAAACTTTCCTATAGTTGGTGTGTAATAATGGGAGAATACTTACCAATGCTGAAAGGACACGTAGGCACATGGGATCAGATGGAAGCCGTCAATACTGTGGACACCCCTGGGAAGTTATTGATCATGTTATGAGGAAATGCCCGAGAGCGACTAATGTTTGGAAACAAGTCATTCACCCAAACAAACTGGAGAGATTCTTGAATGGAGATTGAAAACAATGGATAGAGGATAATCTACTGAATAAGTACAACATGACCGCGGAAGATGGCGATTGGTCTACCCTGTTTGGAACCATTATCTGGATTCTGTGGGAAAGAAGAAATCTGGAAATTTTTGAACCTGAAAAAATTGAAAGAAAACGATCATCGACAAAGCCATTCGATTGACTCGAGAAAAAAGCATGGGAAACCTCACCGGCGGTACAATCAGAACGCAGACCCTATCTTTCAACACAGAGACTTGACAACCGCCGAGAGATAGTTGGATGAAAGTAAATACAGATGGAGCCAGGAAAACCCAGACTGGGGAAGCGACGTGCAGGGGTGTAATTGAAAGCAGCCTGGAATATGGGGAATCGAATGATTCAAATTGAAACTGATAGCAAAGAAGTTTTTATTCTGTTTAAACCAAACCGAAAAAAGGAAGATGAACTGAACCTTATTCACCATATTGATACTTACCTGGCCAAAGATTGGCAGGTTAGAATTATGAAGATTAACAAGAACTGCAATAAAGTTGCGGACGGGCTTGCAAAGTACGCGTGGAGCCTCCCTAGAGGTCTGCATGAATTCGAAATGCCACCTGGTGCAATGGAACAGAAGATGGAAATAGTTGATTAGGCGGCTGCTTACCATTGTAACAAAAAAAATACTGAGTTGATTTAAATAACTAAGAAAATCGATTCTATAACAGAAAGGTTCAAACAATCCGGCCAAAATCAACTAAGCTGAATGGATTTAGTTCAATTGTGAACTTTTGTGATGAAATTGAATCGAATTTAAAATTAGAGTGAAATTTGTGAGGTCTAATTTTAGTTATAGAAGATTTGGAACTTGCTGTTTTGGTTCGGCTCAAACTATTTATGACATTGAAAATGCATTAGGTGGGTATAAAGTGAGTGATGTATATTGTGTGAAATTAACACCCATACACTTTAGCTGGTTTGGGCCTCAAACATTTGTAGATGATGACAGTTCAAGGCTGATTCTGGATGACATTAACTTCACTTTCTGGACCCATTTTCAGATGATGAAATTGCTGTGTCCAAATAGCATTTTGATGTGGGATCATAAAGCCATAATTCAATCTTTGTCTAATTGTAGTTTTAGTCCTCCTACTACATTAAAATGTGGGATTTAAATCCTTCTATCTATTTTTATAATGTTATTAGCAAGTCCAAAGTAATAACATTCGTAACTATTGTTGTTGAAGTGTTAACAAATATTAGTTTTTGTTGGTTGTAACCCTAGTGGTAACTAGAGACGAAAGCTCAAATGTTGAGAGAGATAATTATCTAAGTTCAAAATAATAGGGACTTATTATGTATTTAATCTTAAAGAATTTTACTATAAACTCACGATATAAGAAATGATTTAAGTCCAATCTTATCTTAATCATTAGATGATTAGTGCACCTAGTGAAGATGAAAATCCACCTTATCACTTTATCGAGTGTTATTAGCAATATCATCAATCTGAATCTACTAATAATATTATTAAAGTAAAACAAATATCAAATTATAGTATTGAGATAGAGAGATTAACTTCCAAATTTCAAGGGACTAACATGACAAATAAACCAAAGCCAAATTGTAGAATTTCCTGTCAACATTAATCCTTTTACAATTGCTTGTCCAGCTTAGTTGGTAGAGTGCAATGCTCTTAATCTTGTGGTCGTGGGATCGAGTCCCACGGAGAGCAATTCATAATTCGGAAGTTTCCTACAGAAGCTATTCACAACCTGGCGTTGTGGGCAACCTACTATCCTACCTCCCCTTACCCCCATTACATATGGGAATAAGGGTCAGCTAATTTTATTAATCCTTTTACACAAATGTGTAGAATGTGTTTTTTATATAGTGGATTAGAACAAATCTTAAAAACCCCACAAACAAAGCCAAATTGTTGATGTCCTTTCGATCCTACAAAGAGAAGTCAACTTTGGTGCACTCTATACACTCAAAACTACTTAAAAGGATGGTCTAACATTCGAGGAATAAAAAAAACCATGCCAACCCAAGGAATTTATTAAGTAAAAGTTTGTATCAAAGCGATAACATCAAGTCATCAACTCCACTTTGACATCTAATATGCGATATGACGACACAAGAAATCCACTAAAAGAAGGGTCCATTGTGCAATTTGCATCATGCAAATGTAATGGGAAGGTTCGCATATATATAAAAGAGGTAGTTCCATGAATCATACGTAATATTTTATGTCAGCTGGGTGCGTATCATTAAAAATTTATATTAGAAATTTATGAATACAAAATTACCAAATTTTAGAGCTGTAAGATTAGATCATCAATATAAAATGCAAAGAAAATATTAAAATTATACAAGAATGTAAAATTTCTAAAAGTGTGATTGCCTCCAACATCCCCTCACCCTATCCCTGATTAAGTATAATATTTGCACGAGGATTTTGCGGGTTTATAATTAGGGTATTGTTAAAGTTTAAAATTCCCATATTTTCTTTAAAAAAAATGTTAGAGTTATCCAAATTTTGTTCGGTTTAATCTGAAAAATCCATGACGCAACCTATGTAATACAATTTTATTCGATTGAGATTATTATGTTTATACAACTATATATAAAATGTATATAAATATGAACTAGATGGGTTTTGTCATCTCATGTGAAAAATAAAAGGATAATCATGTTGATCATGTTCGATATGTAGCTTTTAAGTACACTAAAAAGGTTTATTGTGCGACAGAAAATAACAGATTTTACATGCAGTATGGCATTGGTAGGGCACTAACTAAGCCATTCATCATAGTTGCATCACTACTAATGATTTATATTATTCAAATTTGACTGAAAGATACAAATTTAAAGTTTTTTTTAAATATATTTTATTTTTAAGATTTTTTTTATATATAAAAATTAAAATCATGATGATATGAATGAAGTAATTTGAATTAAAAAGATTATTCTTATAATAAATTTTTATAATATCTACTCTAATTAATAAACTGATAGATTAAATACAAATAATTATATAAAAAGTGAACAATATGACAATGGTGGGGGGTAAATCCACAATGGCAAATTGAGAAGAAAACAAATACAGTGACAAGATTTTTATATTCATGTGTGAATGCCTACTTGCCTACTTGCCTGCCTACCCCATGAAATACAGTGACCGCATCATCAATCCATTCATTTCTTTGAGGTTATTTCCAGCACTTTTTTAATTTTTTTATATTCTTGTTGATGTGATGTTTTGTTCCATAAGATTTTATTTTGTAGAGTTTTTTACTAAGGTGACAGTAGTTTCGAATATAATTTTCAACGATTATATCTTTTAGGATCAAAACAAATGAAATGAGAATAATATAAATAAATATAAAATGTGTATTATTTATTCCCATAAATATTCCTCAATGAGATAATAATATTATTTAATTTTTAAAGCAAAACGAGGACGAGAAAATCTCATTCGTTCCTTATCCATAAGAAAAAAAATATAAAAAAATAAATAAGAATACTCTCAAGGTCAAACATCAGATTCTGCCTAATTTCAAATTAAGATATTTTGTTTTATTCGTTTCAACATGGTTATAACACGTCAATATTTACAAGCATACTTGGATTCCTTATTTGCTTCTCAGAAAATGTTATTTAGATTGGAATATAAATATGATTATACATGTTTAACATGAATACTTTAAGAAAAACGAAGATTCGAATACCTAGCAATCGTTTATTTCTATATTCTGTAAAAGATTGAAAGCATGTGATGCTAAGTGGAATGCATACTCAGCTTCTACCAAGTGATGGCAATCAAATCTGAGTGGAAAGGGGTCCCTATGCCTAATGCAAACTATCAAAAATACCAAAGGAATTTCCATGGCAGTGCCCATTGACTCAGCCTGTTAGACCATGTCACTATTATCGATCATGCCTCGAACATGTCTCGGTTCGTGGCACGGTTCAGTTTCAGCTCATGATCGGACAAAGAACCGCAGGAAGAACATTCAGGGTCTGATATCGTCCTCTCTGATCTTTTTTCTTCCCTTTGATTCATAATCCGATTATTATTACAAGTTTACATTACATGACTCCACCATTGTGGAACAAGCAAACCATTTAACATCATGAAATCGAAACGTTTTCGATTACCACAGAGAAAAACGGCCTTGTACATGTTCAGAAGACGGAGCTTTGGGGTTTCATATGAGCTCCATGATAAGCATTGCCATACAGAGTTTGCCCTGGAAGTCTCGGACCATTCGAGGACATAAACCGGTTGCCATCCGTACCCAATCCATCTTCGGTCTGATTCCAATTAAGACCTGCAGCTCTTGACACACTGGCCAGCTTTTGCTGCAATGCAAGAACGTCAGACTGGCTTACAGAAGACGGCTTCCGGTCATTCGAAAATGCAGCGGTGTTGGCGAGATTAAGGACCGTAATGTCGTGGATGCTCGGTCTCCTCTTATCTTTCCCTCCTGAAAGCTGCCTCTGATAGTACTTTTGAGCATGGCTTGCAACTTGTGTTGGTGTTTTGGAAACCACAAAGTTCCTTGAGATGTTTCTCCAATCCCCTTTACCATACTTTAGAAGCCCCATTAGGAACCTCCTTCATGCCACAATCAAAGCACAAGAAAAATGATTAAATATGCATTTTGGTACCTGAGTTTAGCTTCAAAGTTCAAATTGATATCTAAATTTGCCACCTAAAATTTTCATTGGTCCAATTAGATACCTAAACTTAGTTTCTATTCAAATTGGTACTTGAACTTAACTTCATGATCCAATTCAAAAAAAAAAAACCACAGAAATTGAGTTTAGGAAGAAAATTCACCTGTGTTCTTCCTCAGTCCATGGGACACCTTTCTTCCTTTCATGATCATGCCCTTTTGCTCCATTAGTCCTCTTCCTATAACCATCAAAATCATGGTTATCAACCAATTCCAATGTAAAAGATGATCCGAAATAGCCCGGGATCGGAACTCGGCCGGCTTCGATATCGGAAACATCTTCTTCCAATTCCCTGTACTGTTTAATCACATCGGAGACGGTTTTCCCAGGTAACATCTCAGCAACTTTGATCCATCTATCAGGGACATCTTCACCATATATGGCTAAAGCATGCTCAAATATTTTGTTTTCTTCTTTGGTCCAGTATGTGTTTTGGCTCTCTTGATGATCATCAAACCAATCCACATTCGATGTGAAAGAAGCTGGAAATAAAGCTTCCATACTAGACAAATTCAGACAACAGCACACAAAAAATATGCGATTTTTAACAAACAGTTTTCATGTTGGAGATGAAATGAGAGGACTTTAAAATCAGAATAATTTTACTTGGGAACCAAGAATCAATCTTTTCCCTCCACAGCATAAACTGGAGAATCTAAAAAGACAAATCTTTCAAAGAATCATGAGAATTTTGACAAGGAACAAGACAGGAAAATCTGGGGGGGGGGGGTTCTTCTTCTTGTTTTCCTTTATTTATGTAATGATAAAACAACAAGATGATTCTTTTGTATGGTTAATGACCGATGAAAAACAGTGGTGTAAAATGGGTTTTCTTTGAAGAGAAGAATCAGAATTTGATCAAATGGGAAATGTGGAAGAAAACTGAAGAAAAATATTGGTTTTTCACTATTGGGGAGTGGATGAGATCAAAGAGACAAGAATTGGAAAGGGAAAAAAACAAAAGGAGCCTAACAAAGATGTCAACCTAGGATTGGATATGAGATTTAGAGTGAAATTTTTCACTTCAATCCTTTATTCTCTTAATATTCTCACATGTAATGTATTTGTTGGGTTTTAAATTAGATAAATTCACGCATATCATAGATGAAAGGAAAGTATAGTAATTTTTTGGGTAAATTACATAAATGATCACTTTCGTTTAAGTTTATAAACTTTTCCTCATAGAATTAAAAAAACATAAGATTTGATCACTTTCGTTTCGTTTTAATTAAGATGTGGTCACTGAAGATTAACGGCGTTAAACCTTTAACGATTTGCAAATGTAACACGATAAATATATAAAATTAAAATTATATCATTTTCACTTAGATAATACGTGAATTAAGTTTTGATCACTTTCCTTTCATATTTGTACACTTTTGCTCATTAAATTAAAAAAATAAGTTTTGGTCACTTACGTTATCGTTTTATTAAGTTTTGGTCACTTAGATGTTGAATGCCGCTAGTTAATGATGTGGCCCATTAGTAAAATGGTTTAATTTTATTTTAACCCTACACTTTAGACAAAATACTAATTATGAGTCTTTTTGTAAATGCAAATTAGTTTAAGGACAACATTTTAATTTATCCATTTTTAATAAGTTTTCTTCCCAACCTCATTGTTGTTCATCTTCTCCCTGCTTCTTCTTCAGACGTCTCTATTCCATTGCTCCATTGTCTTCTTTCAAAGACTCATGCATGCATTTCAAGAGTAATGAAAGATTTCCAACTTCTGACAACAAATAATAACACCACAAGTTCAAAGGAAAATGAGAGAGTATGCATCTAGAGATAAAATGAACTGGATAATCTCAGTTATACAAACTAAAATTCAATTTTCAAAGTTTGAGATTGTAAAATGTCAAATCTAACAAGGAACAAGAAGACAAATTAATGGATCCAAATAACCCGATAATTGGATATCACTTATCGTGGTGATTTTTCCTTAAGAAAATGCCTCTGGTGAAACATAATCAATGAATCCAAACAACCCGATAAATGGATTCATAAATTCTTCCACTGAACTCAATCCAAAATCCATGATCTTCAACGTCGAATCTTTGTTTTTTGCTCAAGAACAAGTTATTTTTCGATTCTAGATCCCTACGAATCACCATTAACCTCTCCAGCCAACGTAATATGTTGCACCACCACCACTACATCGACCTTCGAGTATCTCATTTTCGCAATGACCCTATTGAACAACTCACTACTAGAGTAGAGTCAGAGCTCCATTACTAAGTTAATGTCGGTTGGATTTTGGTAAACGTCGTGGAGGTCGATCATGTTCGGATGCGACGAAATGTTCTCGATGATCTTTCCCATCACATAGATTCTGTTGATCAATAACGCGTCGGAGATGGAAACCTATTATATTGTTGTTAATAACATTGCCATTGAAGAAACTCTAGTTTTCTCGGCTCGAGGTGGTGGTGAATATTTTTAGAATTTTAATGACGAATTCTTTGTATTTTCACAGTCTTATCACTTCTTTTTATACATTTTTCTTACAATTGAAAACCCACCTAATTTGACTTCAAATAATTACAACTAATAACTAGAAACATGAAGGCTATCGTAATGGAGCAGAGATGTTTGAAGAAGAAACGGGGAGAAGATGAGCAACATTGGGGTTGAGGAGAAAAACTATTATATTTTACTAACGTGTCACATTATCAAACTAACGACATTCAACGTCCAAGTGATCAAAACTTAATAAAACAATACCGTAAGTGACCAAAACTTAATAAAACAATACCGTAAGTGACCAAAACTTAATAAAACAATAACATAAGTGACCAAAAATTATGTTTTTTATGTTTGGTGAGCAAAAGTGTACAAATATGAAAGAAAAGTTACCAAATCTTAGTCCACGTATTATCTATGTGAAAATGATGTAATTTTAATTTTATATATTTACCGTGTCACATTAGCAAGCCGTTGAAAATTTAACGGCCGTTTACCTTCAATGACCACATCTTAATTGAAATGAAATAAAAATGATCAAGTCTTATGTTTTTTTAATTCAATGAGAAAAATTATAAAACTCAAACAAAAGTGACCATTTCTATAATTTACCCTAATTTTTTAATCCAATTTTCGATTTAAAAGACGTAAATAACATTTTTATTGTTAATATTTTTGATAAAAAGATGCAGCCATAAGTTTATAAAATTGTGATGATTATTTTGAAAAGTGGAAAGGAAAGAAGGAAATATATTTATAAAAATCTTAGGGTAATCCAGCACCACTTAGTTAGACATCAAATGTTCATAAAGTTGTAATGATAATCCTAAAAGAAAAAGGCAATATAAAAAAGTACTGAGCTATGCACCATTCACTTGGATATGATCATCTGTCTATACGTGTTATAATTATATGGTTTTTATATTAATTATAGAATTAAAAATATAATATAAATCTTTTGATTAAATAAGTTTTAAGAGAAAAAATTTAAAATAATCTGTTAACATAAATAATATACACATATAACTGATCAATCTTGATAATAAGGAAAATATTGTTCTAGATAATTTAGATTCAAACAATTTTATTTATATTTAAAATTAGACTTAAATATTATTTTATAATTATAGGCTTAATATAAAATTAGTATTTAAATTATACCCCAAATTGACTTTTGGTGCTTAAAGATTTTTTCGTTAAAATAGATGTCTAACGCTTCTAACGTTACATTTTTAAGTGTCCGAACCGTAACTGTCTTTAAATATGACTGTTATCTGACACATGTCATGTATATAAAATTTTAGTTTTTTTATTAAAAACCACTTATATATATATATATATATATAAACCACTTAATATATATATATATATATATATATATATATATATATATATAAACTCAAAATTTATTTTCTCCATCGTCGGTCTGTGGCTGTCAACATTAGCACCATCAAAATCGTCTCGCCGCTTCGACCAAAACTCAATCTTCCACCCACTACGAAACTATGTCAATCTTTGTAGAAAGTGCTGCGAAGGGTTGTCAGATATTTAGGTTTTCCTTTGATGTTTTTCGGTGATTTTGACTGCTTCAATTATCCATACGTTACACGATCGTCACCATTGAGTTATTCACCCTGCTTCGAACGAAATCCAGCCGGTGATGACCTTTCTCATTGGTAGGGGATGGGAGGGAGAACATGTAACAACTGGAAAAAAAATTATATTTAAGCAATTTGGTGAAATTTGGGGATTTAATTAAAAGTTTTCAGAACTTGTAGGTTGTTTTAGAAGTTGAAGGAAATTAAGGGACCTAACCCTAAATTTCCCCATTTAGTTTCGACATCAATTTTCTTGATATATGCGTGCAATTTGTTTTCTGGTTTCAAACCAAAAACAAATTGCTCAACATTTCCTCCTCCGCACCCCTCCTTCCAAGGTCGATTTCTCCACCGTCCGGCGATCCAAAACCACTATCGTGTCCTTTGTCTACCGGTGAACAAAACCCCGTAAACCTCTTATCGTGAAACGTCATCTAATACTGTGAATTTTGATTCAAAGTTTTGACTTTTTTTAACACCACCGCCATGAAAATCGTCGATTCATCGTCGATCGTTGCTCTATTTTCGATACCTCCCGCACCATCGTGTTCCTTGTGTCATTCCAAATTCACCGGTGCCCTCATTGTCTCTGTCGTCGCCGATGTGTGAGGGAGGTGAGGAAGTCAAAGTTTCTGATGTTTTAAAATCGAGCTATCCGCTGTTCAAAATTGTGAAATGAGCTTGGTAAGTGTCTCAAAATCCCTTAAAATAATTTTAGGATTTTTTTCATAATATTTCGGAGCCCGTAGGACACCGCACTCGCCTCCACGCGCCGCCCCTGCGCGTGGGGAATGTTCGTCTCGTGTGGTAAGCTTGAAAACCGATTTGACCCGACCTGATCCAACCCGACCTGACCGCCCGACCTGACCCGACTTGACTGTTGACTTTGACCAAAAAGTCAAAATTTTTGAAAAGTCATATTTTAAGTTTTTCGACATCATGAGTCTGATTCTGAAGTATGTTTTGCTAAATTCTGACCTAAAAACCCCGAATCGAGCTTGTTAACCAAAAAATGCTTAGTATTTTTAGCATTTTTGCTTATTTATTTGAGATATGATTATGGAATTGATCCAATAAGATATTCTTATGAATGTACTCATGTTTCACCTGAACGAGGGTCAGTTAGGTCCAGTGCTTTTCGTTCGTCAGATCCGCTCGATCCGCGTACTATGAGAATTACCTGTGGGTTTCTGTAAATTATTTAAATAAAGGTTAAGATTATTCATATTAGGATTCCAATATGGATTTTTCCGATTCGTAGGATCTAGTGCTGCCACAGAGCGTGATCGACAGACTCAGTAGTAGGCTTCCCTATCCGATTACTTAGATTGTTACAGGTGTGTTTCCTAACAGTGTTATTTTACTGTTTTAAACTATCATTTGAATTATTTCAGATTGGTGATAATCCTAAATATTATTACGACATGATACCTGATTTCTAAATATTGTTTACCCGACATCTGATTTATCGTATATTACTGATTTGATTTATGATTTCCGTATTTCTGTATATGATTTTCAAGCATGAAATATTTTCATGTTTTAATGGATTAATCACCATTTTCACTCGAATACATACATGTTTATTACTGTCATTGGGGGGAATATTGTTG